TACATTTGACTTGACTAGATGGATACATAGATAAAATGGAAATCCTCAAGACACACATTTATTCATTCAGATTGTTATAGAAAGACAACACAATCTAAACTGGATTATCAGAAGCCTGAGATCCTCTGGATATGGTCAAGCCGCAGAGAGCTTAGACATGCAGCAGTGGTAGTATGGCAATATTGGAAATTAATATGGGGCCCTGCACCATTAGTGCTCAATTAGTGCCCTGCACCATTAGTGCTCAATTAGTGCCCTGCACCATTAGTGATCAGGTAGGTCGCGGCACCATTAGTGATCAGGTAAGTCGTGGCACCATTAGTGATCAGGTAAGTCACTGCACCATTAGTCATCTGGTAGGTCGCTGCACCATTAGTGATCAGGTAGGTCATGGCACCATTAGTGATCAGGTAGGTTGGTGCACCATTAGTGGTCTGGTAGGTTGCTGCACCATTATTGGTCTGGTTGGTCGCTGCACCATTGGTGATCTGGTTGGTCGCTGCACCATTAGTGATCTGGTTGGTCACTGCACCATTAGTGATCTGGTTGGTCGCTGCACCATTAGTGATCAATAAGTGCCCTGTGCCATTAGTGATCAATTAGGGCCCTGCACCATTAGTGATCACTTAGTGCCCTGCACAATTAGTGGTCAGGTAGAGCACTGCACCATTAGTGGTCAAGTAGGGCACTCCACCATTAGTGAACAATTATGGCCCTGCGCCATTAGTGATTAAATAGGGCCCTCCACCATTAGTGATAAATTAGGGCCCTCCACCATTAGTGACCAATTAGGGCCCTGCACCATTATTGGTCAGGTAGGGCCCTGCACCATTCATGATCAATTAGGGCCCTGTTCCATAAGTGAGTGTTTGTGAGGTTCACTGTTACAATAATGATAGCCATTTAGAGATACGAGTATGGAGGACCGAAACTGCCAAAATAAAAAATAAATCAATGAATAAATAAATTACTTAATAAATAAAATAAAATAATACAGAAATAAATGTAGGAAAAAAGCCTCAATGATTAAATAAATGTGCAAGTTAATTTCAAAATAAATAAATATACACAGAAATAAATAAATATATGAATACAATATATTTATTTATTTCCCTAATTGTTAATTTCTGTTTTTAATTATTTCCCTTTTCATTTATTTCTGTATTCATTTATTTCCCTATTCATTTATTTACATATTTATTTATTTACATATTTATTTATTCCTGTATTTTTTCGTCCATATGATAATGAGAGGGCGTGCCTAGATGGTGTCACCTAACTCCCATTGGTTAATCGATATGAGAACTCATAGATTGACTGTACTTGCCTCGCTCCGGCAATGCACTTGCGCAGTCTGCTGGAAATCACCAAGTGCTGCTGCAACCAGCAATGGATGTACACTGGCGAACCATGGCGAGAGATGTAAGGCTGTTGGCTGACATAGCTGGACATGCTGGTTCAGACTACACAAAGCTGGACATGCTGGTCCAGACTCCATGCTATTTCGAGTGGAGGCACAGATTGCAGATTTGATAGAATTATCCGAAACTACAGACATGGAGATTGACCCTACAGTTTTCAGAAACTTGGATGTGGTTCAGTGGCTCGCCCCCTCCACAAACTGATCAAACTAGAACAACCTCTAGCTCATCAAGATGATCAGCCGCCTCTCAAAGGAGCTCTGAAGCTGAACGTCGGGCAGCCATTTTTGGTATCTTCTTCTGCCTCTAGAGGGAGAGGAGGGTCTGTGCCTCTTCTCCTGTGAGTTTGATTGCTAATGCCTGAGTCTTCAAGACATGCCCCCTCATTCATTAACATATGTACGAAGAAATACAGGAATGAATACATAGGGAAATAAATAAATAGGGAAAAAAATAATAGAGAAATAAATAAATACAGAAATAAATTAATCGGGAAATAAATACAAAAAACAATACATATTTGTATAAAAATAATTAAATAGGAAATAATTAAATATGAAAATAAATGAATACAAACATAAATAAATTGTAATCATTTATTTATCTATTTCTGTGTATATTTATTCATTTTCAAATTAGATTTTTGAATCTTGAATCTGAATTTGAATTTAACATTTATTTAATCAATTGAGGCTTTTATTTTTACATTTATTTCTGTATTATTGTCTTTATTTATTGAGTACTTTATTTATTTATTCATTTATTTTTTATTTTGGCAGTTTCGGTCCTCCATGTACAAGTAAACTGAGGTGTTTTGGCTACAATTCACATAATCATTTTATTGTTGTTAAAAAAAATGCAGCTTTGTGGCAGTTTTAGGCCAGTGAGCCAGTGTTTCATTGAGCAGGTGCAAACTGGGATTCGGTAACAGCAATTCTACATTTTACTCTGAAAAACACTACTTTTCATAGTGTTCCACAGCGATACCACCATGTTTTACACAGCCCATCCAACTCTCCTGTGACTGCTTCTGCTGCTCAGACATCGTTTTATTTTAGGCTAGCCCACAGCAATTTCAGCAAACCGCCACTAAATGTCAAATCAAACATTGTCTGTGTACGGCGGACTGCACCGTTACCCAGACTGCCCCTGTGTCTGCCCAGTGTTTTATCACAATATCACTATATCACTTTATTGATGTCTTGTCTGTTCCCTGTCCTATTTTCGACCTGTTACTGAATGGATGTCTGTACCCTAAAATAGCAATAAAAACCACGTCGAAAAGTAAAGTAAAAGTGAAACATTTTTCCCCCGAAAGATTCGTCTGTTATTTCTATGGCATCTACTGTAAGACTAGCTGATGAGTCATCCAAATGCAGGGTTCATCTCTAGACTAATACTCTTTTTAATCACTTCATACTAGCGAGGACGTAGCTTTTGGTGAGGGGATGATGCGAACGGGCAAGCTGCAAACATTTTGTTTGTAAAACAAATCGTTCTGTTGTTTTGTTGACACATTATGGTGTTAGAATAGCAAACACGTCCCCTGCAAAAACATATATGCAAGGTTGAAAATTTGCTAGGCTACTTACTGACCAGAGATTGGTGCCCACACTGAATTAGTTGACCATGATCAAATTGCATCTTCCACCACAAGAGCTTAACAGGACGTCCACAAACCTGCTGCACCACTTGTATATAAAACTGAAGAAATACCTCCCTCTGACACCTGAGCCCACCCAGGGTCTTTACTGACCCTGCTCACCTAATACTATGAAGAGCCTCTTCACTCTTACTCACCCACAAGGCACACTACATCAAGATGCACTGCCATATATCCACTCATCCACAAACGTTCCTTTAAGTTAGACTCACCCGCTACTTCTGGAAAAAAGATGTCATGTAAAAAAATCAAGTGTTCTCTGTGTGAAGGTGTTGCGGTTTATTGTTTAAACTGTGTATTAAAACACCAACCACAGTCTGGTGGTTTTCTAACATCTACGTACAGCTGAGCTGTGTAATGTATTCATATAACTGTATAATGTTAAATATGTATACTTTTTTTTACCTGCACTTTCATACATAATGTAGATTGTATTGTGTTGGTATGATGTTGTTGCTGCTGCTGCAGAAAAGGTCATGGGAGAACCACAAGTCCTTATAAAGACATGGGAGATGCTTTGTCCTTGCTTGTACACTCTCTGGGGGAAATGGCACGGTGGGGGGAGACAGCAGAAAGGAAGCCTAACAAATGGGCCTTATTCACCTCACGGCCATCTTGGTTCTAAACATGAGGTGGGTGGGGGAACTGAATGAACCAAGATGGCCGCTAGGTGAATAAGGTGAACACAGTGGTGACATCAAGATCACATACGTATTGGTGTTATCACAGTTGGGGATAATATGCATAATATCACAGACACCGAAACAGACACTCAACAATATACAGTAGGTGATTTAACAAGACAATATTAATTGACAAATAAAACCAATAGGAATTGGAAGGCAACAAACGTACAAAAATACATACAAATGTGGCACCGACTCAGCTGACCTGCTGACCTGACACAGGTCAGCTGAGGACAGCTAACACAATGAAAGCACAGTCCCCCTTTGTTACGAGTTACGAGTCTGGAGTATGGGGCACTGAAGAGAAATTGGTCCGAAGAACCGCGTAATCTTGGTGCAGAGTATTGGGTTAGGAGTTCAGAAATATGAGAGGGAACCCAATGCCATGAAGGACTTTGGATGTGATCAGGAGGAATTTTGAACTGAATCTCTGAAGCGTACAGGAAGCTGGTGTAAGTGGGCCAGCATGGGGGTGATATGCTCTCATCGTTTAGTGTTTGTCGAAAGCCTGGCTGCTGCATTCTGAACCAGTTGAAGTCGAGCAATACCAGACTCTCTTCAATGGAGAGAATAGGGAGTAACAGTAATCCAGGCAGGGTGAGATAAAAGCATGGATGATTTGCACTACGATGGACTAAATTTGTCAATATTTCCGAGTCGTAAAAAAAAGGGACTGAACCAATTTCTTAATGTGATGGTCAAAATTTTGATCAAACACAACACCAAGATAGTAGACGGCATACTATACGCCTATTATGCTTCTTAAGCATAGTAGGCATACTACTTAGGCATAGTTCTATGCATTTATCATGGTTGTATTGTAATTGTTTTGTTCAATACGATTACCTACCATCAAACTATCAAAAATATCATTATTGTCCAATTATTTTTCTGATATTCTTATGTCACCTCACCAAGGTGTTGAAATTGTATTGAAATGATTCTGAAATATGTTGGCTACCTACCTAATACTTTTGGAGTCAAACACTTGCTCAAAGTGTATTGTGTGGCTCTCCCTCTATCTACGAAAATCTGCTTGTATTCCTGTTTCAATTTAAAACTCTGTTCTCTGAGCATGTTCTCTGAAAGAAGGATGAATGTTTCACACAGATTGAAGCTGTCACCGCATCACGGTGGGATACAGACTTGATGAGACCTTTCTTTTCTATAAATCTAAAAACACACATTGTGCGACTGTGTATTTTCTTTTGTTGATTTCATCTGAGTGGAGGTTTGCCAAGTGCGGTCAAGGGTGTTTGGCTCCCAGCCGAAAGGTTATTGGTTCGAATCCCCAATGTCAACCTGTAGTTATCCTTGAGCAAGATGCCTAACCCCTACTTCATCATTGATGTATCTAAAAATACATGAACACTGTAAGTCACTTTGGATTAAAAGCGTCAGCTAAGACTGAAGACTAAATACCCAACAGTAGCAACAGCGGTACAAAAAACAAATATGGCCACCACGTCAACAATCAAAACGAAAGCTTCTCGTCTCCTCTAACATGCAGGCTGAGGGCACCAAGCAGGGCAGAGTTCTGGGTGTGAGTGTGAAGAAGAAGAAGAAGAAGAAGAAGAAGAAGAAGAAGAAGAAGAAGAAGAAGAAGAATCCAGTATCAGCAGGGTTCCTCTGCCGCTGATTGCCAGGCTGACTGACACCCAAAGTGGCACTAATTGGCATGAGCTCCGACACCTCTCCAACGCGCCTCCACTCTTTTTAATGGCGTGCCTTCTCGCTCCCTTGCAGCATTCCTCACAGTCTCTTACCCCGTTTTCACCACCCCCCCCCCCAACAAAAAAAAAAAAAAAATCTGGAAGAAAATATGATGTATAACATTTTGAGGGGGAAAAAAAAACACAAATGTGTTCAAACTGTGACTGACCCAGTTTCAATATGCTCATGTTTGTCTTACTCTCTGTCACACATGGGTCACACATGAACACACAGACACAAGTACACACGTACACACACACACACACACACACACACACACACGCACCACTGTCACTGGTGCAATATGTCATCTTTTATTTCCCAAACTTTTAGATAAAAGTATTGTATATAGCAATAAGTGCTAAAAATAGAATGCCTCTCATGGAATGCAATTCAACCCATTTTTACTACATGTAATATATTCTCTATTCGCCTCTTTCGGTTCTTCAACTATTAAGCCTAATCCATTTTTAGTAATTCATTTTAAAGCCCTAATCCATATTTTAATGGTTCTCATTCCGGTAAGGATTTCTGCACCGTGGAAGAAAATATTGCATTTATATCTTTTGAATATGAGGAATAAAAGTAGCCCTTCACATGCATATTGCAATATGAATTAATAATTTCCACATGCACATGCATGCACATACGCACACGCGCACACACACAGAGGCAAGACAAGCTTATTTACAAAGAAAGACAGATACACATACATCAACAATGCCGAAAACCCACAAATTCAAGCACTCTCAAGTATACACATCAAAAGCACAAAACACAGACATCTGAAATGGAAGGACAGAAACATCCATATGGAAAGAGAGACATTGGCCTGATTATTTCTCTTATGTTTTTTCCCCGTTTCTGCTTTGATCTTCTTTAATCCACCTCTGATACCTATCTCCGCATTCTCCACCTCACCCACCCAAGTGCAGAAGCGCTCTCTGCAACATTCCTCCTAGCACCCATTACATTAGTTCACACACACACACACACACACACACACACACACACACACACACACACACATATACATACACACAGTGTGTGTGTGTGTGTACCGAAGTCTGACACATACATGTACAGCACTGTTTTTTGGCTTGGCCTCCATTCGTTTCTTAGCACAAACGCTGTGGGGGGGGGGGGGGGGGGGCAGACTGCTAACTCGAAAACATTTCTTCTCCTCCCTTCCACTGGGAAACAGGAAGAGGCCTGTCTAGTCTAGCATGTGATTCTACATTTGAAGTGTCTAGTCTATTGCGTGATTCTACGTTAGGACACTTTGAGGCCTGTCTAAGTCTAGAGTGTGATTCTACGTTAGGACACATTCTATATGTTGAGGCCTGTCTAGTCTAGAGTGTGATTCTATATTTGGAGTGTGTAGTCTATCATGTGATTCTACGTTGGGACACATTGAGGTATGTCTAGTCTAGGGTGTGATTCTATGTTAGGACACATACATATCAAGGTGCCAATATATTGCAGGAATTAAATTTTGTGGTGGAAACAGTAGATTGAAGAAAAGATAAAACGGAGAAACCTGATAACACAATGGAAGCATTTGGCAGAAAGCCAATTAGAGATTCTTTAATTAGTCATTTGTCCTCGCTATATCAGTTCAAGTCAGTTATACCGACAGACAGAAATATCTCAACTTTTCACTCAGCAGAGCAATAATGAGGTGAAGCCTTATGGTGTGTGTTGAGAACAGTATATTGTTGTATAGACAAGCAGGTTGTGACATACGTCGATGTAGCCAGGTGAGATGTAATGGTGATTCTTCAATGACATTGGAATCTCATTTTGTTTCCTATATTACTGGGGAGTTGGCTGTCACAGACCACCTTGTATCAAGGTCATTAAGCTTTTGCTCACAAAAACCCATATGTAAAATACGGCGACCAGACGTCCCTGGCTGGAGCTGTCCCTGGAAATGTCCCCGTTTTAAAAAAATAGGATTCTAAAAATATATTGCTAGGTTTTTAAATAGCAAAGGTTTCAGCTTGCTGATGAATATTCATTTTGAGACAGTTGGTAAATAGTCTCATCACCTTATAGGCTGTGACGCAACCTCGCTACGCGAGGGTCTATCTATCGACTATATACCATAAGCAGACATGACCATTTAGAAACAATAGGCTATCCCTATTCGAGTAGCCTACTTTAGCTTGTTTTGGGCCGGTTTACCAAAGCTTAAAACACATGATAAACCATTGGGCATGTACTGCCCAATATTTTACTACAGTACTATATTTACCAGGATATGATTAGGCAAAACTTTTTTTATTTCAGAAATAACATTAGATATGTTGTTGATATATGGACCGCCAAACTACAAATGTCCCCGTTTAAAATTACACACACATGTGCATAATTACACAGATACACACACACACATGAACATAGCATATATCACATCTATGGCATCTTTCGCTCATGATTTCGTTCATGCGGAGGCTAGCATGTTCATACTGACAGCATTTTGAAACCTTTGATCTAACTCCTTCATGCAAGTCTCTCTCTCTCTCTCTCTCTCTCTCTCTCTCTGCACCATCTCACAGCATGGGGTTGCATCTAATATCAAATTGCGAAGGGGGGGAAATCAAGAATGAGGGGACGCTCCGGAGTAAGAGGCCTTGTCCGAATAGTATCACTAGGTTTACTCACTTGCACTGTGCTTGGGGAAGCGAGATGTGAATATCCTTAATCCATAATTTGTGCATGGAGATTTGCATCTCCTTGTTGCTGAATGTAAACATATGGAGGCGAATATATTAAAGGCACTGCACACATGTATTTGAACATGGGTGACAGTGTGTTGATTGTATCGTGAGTTAGTTAGCATAGCTTAACATAGTTTTGCATGGCAAAATAATGCAGTTTGACAAAACAAACATTGTAACGTGACACACACACATGTGACGGATCATTTGATGTGAAAACCAAATCAACAAAATCTGACTTTGCTATAAACACTGTCACTGAACCTCTTGACGTGCTAACGTAGTGTACATCAACAACAGTATTGTCAACGTGTACCGTTTTACGTGTGAAAATAATTAAACTAATTTAGTAATGCCACCATTTCTTTGCAGGCTTATCCATTTGCTAATTAGAGGAATGGAACTTGGCTAAGAGTATATTACACATGTTGCCTAGAGTCGTTCAGTCGTGTTTAAACAATTTTGTAATTCTTGCTCCCATTGCCCCCACTGACCATTTTGTTTATAAACAACACAGACTGAGACTGTTTCTTAGCTTATTTTGTGATGCCCCTATGTAGAATATCATTATGGCAAGATCTTGGGAACATAATATCTTTAGCTGAGCTCTACTTTGGGGTTTAAGAACCTATTTCTTCTTACAGCAAGCAAAGCCACTGGGAGGGGGAGAGAGGGGGAGAGAGGGAGGGAGAGAGAACGTCATGTGGGTGTGCAAAAACTGCAGAAAGGGAGAGTTGAAAATCAATCGGTCAATACAAAAACGACAATTCGCTCATCATCATATATTGATGTCTTTGGTTGTCGGCCGTGTGACTTAAAACACTAGCGTGACTGTATCTGTCTCTGTTCAAATGATCATAGTCAAGAGTGCTTTCTCTCTGTGTCTAACATCTTTAGGGGTTTGACATAGATGTGAATTCATATATGGCGCTAGTCTAGAGGATGAGATTGCACATCCACACTTAGGGCCCTATTTTGCCAGTCTGAAACGCAAGTATAAAACGCAAAGCGCAAGTGGCTTTGTGGGCGGATCTTGGGCGCTGTTGCTATTATGCCGGCGGGATAAATGACGCTTGCGCCAGTGCAAATCTAAAATGGGTTGGTCTGAAGTAGCTACATTAGTCATAGGTGTGGTTTGGGCGTAACGTGCAATAAACCAATCAGAGCGTCGGCTCACATTCCCTTTAAATGCAGGCGCGCTTGTTCCATGGCGAGCACATCGCGCATCGCCACTACTGGACCCAGACGGGTCCAATCCCGCCGTAGCGCGCGCATGCCCATCAGAGGGAAAAATAATGAGTTATTCTGTTTAAAACTTTTCAGCTTTTCATTTTCCGTTGACAAAATGTAAATAAAGAAATGTCACAAAGACATACTTTCCGATGTTTTGGCCTCACTCTCACTGAATCACGAGGTTATGAATGCATGGTGATATATTTGCAATGTGGTCTAACATTAGACCGAGATCCTACTTTGCTTATAGACAGTGCTTGAAGTGGAAAAAAATAAGTGCCGGTGTCGTGCCAAAAAGTGATTGTCTGCCAGAATCTGATTTCTGGCTGCGGGAGCGCGCACAGCAGCCCGTTGAGCGGTAGCGCAACAACGTCTGCTTTTCTCTGGATTAAACGGCCATAATATGCAGATACACACAACTGTATTATAATGTAATTACAGCAAAGGAACGTGTCTTCGAAAGTTTAACGTTTGTTCTTAAATCAATTTTTGGCAGGTGAAAACGCCTATTTTGTGTTAATGGTCCTTTAAAATAATTCCAAGGTGTCCTGTGAGCTCCAGTGTTTATATTATGAAGCTTATGAATGAGATCAAGTCATATTTAGGTAGAAATCACCTTTGAGTAACTGTATGTG